TGTAAATTAATTAGCAGCTGGTAACCCCAGAGTCGGTTGCTGCGGTGACTAGTTCATTAAGCGTCAAAAGTTTGGTTTTTTTTCACGCATTTATATTTATTTTGTTTCGGATTTCTCTTCTTTTTTTTCGTGTGCTGGCAAAAGTTGCAGCTGTTCGGAAAAATAAAAGTTGTACATTGAATTTAGTTTTGTGGCGAAAAAAAAAAGTGGGAAAAACAACTCATTAGCGCGGGTCAAAGGTAAAAATGTATACGACACGTGGGCCCGAATGAAATGCAAATAATAAACAGGCCTTTGTGCATGAAAGGGTTAAAGAGTTGAGGAACTTGATTGTTGTTCTTACACTTGTTATTATTATTATTATTGTTGTTGCTGCTGTTGTTGTTGTTGTAGTTATTGCTATTGTTGTTGCCCCGCTTCGAGTGACACTTGCGCAATTTCGACAGGTGCTAAGAAAGCACAAGACAACACTTTACACAAAAGCAGTGAAAGAAAACAAAGACAACAGCAGCAGCAATGGCAGCGGAAAAGCCGAAAAAACATCAACGAAAATCCTGCCTGCCCAGGCAGTTGCGAAAGAAAAGCGGAAAAACGGAAAAGGGAAAAAGTTCGTTGAACAACAATTACAATGAGAGAGCTTGTGGCTTGCCCAAGCGGACATTGTTCCAGCTGTCGCATTGTTCCTCCAGCAGCAGCAGCAGCAGCAGCAGCAAAAACAACAACAATAAGAATGACGACGACGACGATAATAATAATAATAATAGCAATGATAATAATAATAGTAACAAGCGTCGTGTCGCACAATGACAGATTTGTCAAGCGCTTTTTCTTAACGCCGCTCAGACGCAACACGTGCGGCTATAAATCGTAACGGAAATAGTTGCTGTTACAGCAGCAACATCTACCAACAGCAGCAACAGCAGCAACAACTGACAGCAATACAAATTTTTTGCAAATTAGTTGCTCTTTAGTATTATTTGGTGCATAACAACAACAACAACAACAGCAACAACAACAACAACGAGATTAAGGGCAACAACAAAAAAATGTCGCGAGTCGCAGCTGCATGACAAATTAGCAACATAATAAAGTGCTCCACTCCCGGGCATTATAAGAAATATATGCAGGATTTATTTTTGCGCAATTTCTGTTAACATAAAAGATGAGGCAAAAAGGGAGCGACTCGACTTTTAGATACCCTATAAATACATTTAATAGAAATGAACAATTTTGACATTTTTGAAGCAGCTGCTGTTATATTAGCTCAGTAGATACCTTATAAATAGCTCTTCAACCTTTCAAGTTCCTCCACATACTCTAGACATATTTTCTGTGCTAATAAATATGTATGTGCACCATTCATTTTGCACTTCCATCATCCCATACATTCTACTCGTGACTTTGCACATCCTTTTTCATCTTTTTATAGGGTATACAATTGGATAACTTTCCAGACAGATAAAGCTGAAAAAACTCTTGGGGCTTATGATTATGCTAATCAGATGTGTTTGCACTCTTAACCTATAAATTTTAACTTTTATTTGGCAGATTCCCTCTAACATACCCTGTTAAGTACATGTATTTATAGACAGACTGTCTTGCGATAGAGTTTACCTTACATACATCTTACACTTTTAGATTCTTAGAAAAATCTCTCTTTTTCTTTCTGGCTGCCTTTTTATGTCTCTCACTCACGCGCTCTGTCTGTCTCTACCTCTCTCTGTCAATCTCTCTCTCTCTCTCTCTATGAATATGTAAGTCTCCCTCTCCCTCTCTCTCTCTCTTGCTCCTTCTAGCTCTATTTCTTTTCCTCGCTCCCTCTCTCTCTCTCCCGTCTCTCTCTCTCTCTTTATCTCACTATCAGCATCAAAATGTATGACTCAGACTAAAAGTCCTCTCATTAACCTGTTAACCTCTTCGGTCAGAAGTAAGCTATACCTCTTTGCCTCTTTTACAGGGTATTCTTATGAATAGCTCCCCAGTTTCATTGACTACACTTACTTTAATATATTTATTCTATTTATTTACTCACTCATTGAGTCCACTTTGATAAACTCCGCATTTCGCTCACTGTGCTACCCTCTTGCCCTGCTTACAGGGTATCATTATGCAAAAGTGCCAAGCATGTGTGCAGATTTCAAAATCCAGCTCTATTTCTGTTGCTCTTGCTCGTGCTTCCCAAGGCAGAGCCTCAATTGCTGCGCATCGACATCACTGTGGCTCTATGTGTGTGAGTACACACACACACACGCACAGCCAGTTTGCGGCAGTCCGCAGTCGTTAGTTGTGAGTCGATTTGCTTTTTTTTCTAGTGCACGCTGTTTTTTTTTATTTCTTTTTTTTTTGCATTCAAGTTGGCTACAGTTGGCTGCCTGGCAATTGTTTTGGCCTAAAAGTATGCTACTTGTTTGTGATTTCACAAAAGCACATGACCACCCACACACTGGCACAAACACACACACACCAACACACACACACACATGTTGGCTGCAAAAACCGCATAAAGCTCAAAAAACAGCAACGACTACGACAACGACATGCAAGTGAACAGCCGTCCGCAGTTGTCGACGTTGGAAGATGCCAACGCAACCGCAATACAACAGCAACAACAGCAACAACAGCAGCAACAACAACATTATTAACAACAACAGCAAGCGAGTCGTGTATCCAAAAGTTTGACAAAGTTGCAGGCAGTCAGTTTATGCCCACACACGCCCACTAACAAACGCCCATAAACACACACACATATACACTCACACTCGCTCTCTCTCCCTCACACACACACACTAAGCCATATAGATTTCATTATAAGCATCGTTTGTACACATATATATATTCTTGTTAAATATTAATTAAAATATCTGCATTTGTTGTTTTTACAGCATATCTGTTTTTGCATAGCTGTAAATTGTGTGCGTAGTAGCACTTGTACTCTATTCGGCGTAAAAAAGCCAAACATAGAACATTGTTGGATATAGTTATTGCCATGGGTATTTCTTATAGCATTTTACCTAATGGGAAATAGACAGGAAATGGAGCACAAACTAGGGAGATATGCGCTTTAGTGGTATTTTAAATGAACGAGCTTTGATAGAAAATATTTGTAAAATGCTACATTGCACAACACTGCTAGTTTTAAGAATTGAATACTTACTTTGCTTAAAGAAAATTCTACAGAAGTCATGTATACTAGGCACTAACCATACACTAGCAATTTCCTGTATGCATAGCTTGATTAAGTCACGTCAACCTTGCATTCTGTATTATGTATAATATTGTACAACACTGGTAATTATACTCTGAATTAATAATGGGTTAGCAGGGTATATTAATTTTTTTTTTACACTAAGCTAAATACCAAATACTTACTTGGTTTTGCATAAATCCAGCTTGAGAAGGCTCAGATAAAGGTAATGCTACAGTCCTACCTCTTTTGCCAAGCACTTAAATATAATATATTTGTTGCTCAACTCTGGTAATTAGTTTCTGAAAGCATTCTTGTTCTTACGAATGCATTTGAATGATATTTTGCTCTCACTATATATATTATATTGTATAGTATATTGAAATATTGATCTTCCATTCCTGTAGTCCCTGAAAAGACTGAAATTCTAGCTTACTATATAATACTTGTTGATTTTCAGGCGATTTCAGACCTATTAAGTATTGGAGTAGTACGATTATATCTTGGCATATTTAATTATCTGATTTACTTTCTTACATTTCTTAAATGGGTGTATGTGCTCTGTTTACAGTACTATTTTACAATTGGTATTGTTGGTATAAAATTTCCCTTAACGTTCTTATCTATGCTGTTGTCTTTTCCCTCGATCCCAAAAACTTCTATGAATATAAACAATTTGGATGGATTTAGGCTGCCTTTAGTTACACCTCTTTTCTTGTTACCATAGAAATCTTCTAACACTGGTCACTTTTTATTAAATATTTTTTAATATACACAAAGTTTTTTCATCTCTATTTTATCTACCGTAAGAACATATATGCTTCGCCTTAGTGTCTAACTAAATTTATTATGCCTTTGCTCCGGTATCTATGTGTGTGCGTGTGTGTGTATCTGTTGCTCTGTCACATGTTTTATGGGACACCATTGCACAACACTGGCAGGCAAAGAAAATTAAAATAAAAGAGAGTAGAGCAAAAACTGTGAAACAACACACACTTCCGGTCTGGGTTACAAGCTCTGGACTTAAGCCACAAGCAGCTGGACAGCTTCAACAGCTTAGAAGCTCAGCTGAGCAGATTTTTTACGGTTGTTTGCGAATCAATTTGAAATATTTGCAAATACAATTATTTTATATTTTGTATATTTTATTTATTCATTTATTTATATATATATATATATTTATTTAGTATGTTTTTTATTAAGCTTATAGAATAGCATACATAACTTTTAGTTTTGCGTATTGTTTAAGTTTATTTTACTAAAATTACATTTTGTGTTGCATTTTGTTTTGTTTTTGTTTTATTTTGTTGCCAAAATATGATTGCATTTGCATTCGCATTTTGTAGCCAAATTTGCTTAACTTTATTTTGTTGTTGTTGTTATTGTTGTTTGCGGCACGTAGAAAATGTTATAATGCAAATAAAATAAATGCAAGCCAAAGAGCACAAAAAATGAAAACAGAAATTGAAAATGATTTGCAAATATTTATATATAAAAAAATATGAATTTATATTTATATTTATATTAATTTGAATAGCAAAAGTAAATCTTTTTTCGGCATATTTTTTGCAGGTATTTTTTAAGTATTTTTCATCATTTGTTTGTTTTTTTTTTTTTTAAGTATTATTTTGCTGCACATCAATCTCGTATCGTTTGAGTTGGGGCCGGACGCGGGATTAAGGCACAGCAATTCGCATTAATCATAAAATTAACTTAATTGCGTGCAAATTGAATTTACTATAAAATTTGCTTTGACGCCTCTATTCAAGCTGGAGGAGACGGGCTTTAACAACATTTCGATTTTTGTTTTTCTTTAATTATCTGTATTTTGGCTTACTTAAGGCTGGCTGGGGTTAGGGGGAAATTGGTTATTTGATTTGTTCATGGCAGCAGACGTGGATTGAAGCGACCCATGAAGAGTATCATTCCCGTTGGATTGTGGCGCACAAAGTAGAGGAAGGGCTTATCGAAGCGCAGTCTGGGCGCATCGGGCACGCGCGCCTGACGCGGACGCAACGGTAGAGGCAGCTCCAAGTACTTGGGATCGAGTAAGTCATCGTAGAAGCCACGGCCCAATGCCGATTCCTGCACCAATGAACCAAAGTCCACGATTGCCTCCGACGAATCGTAGGCATCGTCGTCCGTTGCATCCACATCCTTGTTGCGTTTGCGTAGAGGCGGTGCTGGGTACATTTCCACATGATGATGGTCGGAGATCTTCTCCTCGCCGCAAGTGCTGAACGTATTGATCTGTATCATGTCGGAGAGGAAGATGTCGCGATTACCGTTGCCGGTCAGGCCGCGCAAGTCAGCAAAGTCCGATTTGAAGAGTCCCTTGAGGCCCATCTTCTGCAGTCCCAGCGAGGCATTGACAAACGAGCGATGCGAGAAACGTGGCAGTTGCACCTCCATGCCGGGCCGATCCATTAGCGAGGTCATCAGGCTGCTCCACGCATTATCCTGGCCAAAGGCCATCTCCACCAGATTGCGCTCCAGGCGATCCAAATTGTCCGTGGGCACCACCGAGCTCTGTTGTCCCGGCATCACATAGATGGTGCTCACCGTATCCTGAATGCGCCCGAAGGCGACAACAGTGGCATCCAGCTTGGGCTCATAGCCAGCCGTGAAGCCGGAGCGGTAGAGCACGGCGGGTATGGGCACCAGTCGGCGTTGACGCACCGTCGGATGCACCTGGAAGAACATCTCACCGTCGCGATCCGTTATCGAGGCCCTGGAGCAGTCTGTCTGGAAGAGATTGGCTGAAACTGTGGCCAACGGGCCATTTACCCAAACGCTGTTCGTGCGCAAATACTCCAAAACCTTGCCCATCGTGTGACGTTTCACCAGCAGATTCGTGCGACGCCTTACAATGTCGTTGACCACATGGAAGTTAACCTCCTCCACATGTCCGCCGTACAGCTGCTGCGTCTTCTCCTTGAAGAAGGGCAGGATTTTGCCATTCGCACGATCGCTAAAGATTTCGCGCACAAACGCCGCAGTCGCTATATCTTGCTCCATGGACTTCTCCACCGACTGGGTGATGTTACGGAAAATCAAATGCGGATTAAAGGTGACCATATCGTCGAGTTTCAGTATTTCATTCATTTCGCCCGAGGTGCTGCCGCGTGCGCCCAGGAAGACCATGGATAGCATTGAGGTCAGCGCAAATGGCGAGATGACCAGACTTCTGGCTGAGCTTATCTTTTCCGAGGTTATGGACTTCCAGTAGCTAAACGCGAGCTCATTGCACAGCCGTGCAAAGGACAAGACATCCTCATCGAGACGGGCAGTGGAGGCCTCCAGGCCCTGAGAGCTCTCCGGACTCGGCTCGAGCTTAACTGGCGGACGCGTTGCCTGCGTGGATGCAGCCATTAAATTTGTGAGCGAAGCGGGTCGATGCATGGGTCGGTGCGATGATGGCAGCAACTGTTGCTGCTGTGCCAGGCTGTTGCTGTTGGCATTGTAGGCGAGCAGTTTCGGTGGCTGTGGCTCCACTTGATTGTAGCCACCGAGCAGTGACGGCTGCACATAATACGAAACGGGCTTCAGTGTGTGCAGTCGCTTGGTGGTTGTCGTTGTGGGCGCTCGTGTGGTTGTCGTTGTGGTGGTTGTTGTCGAACTACTGCTGCTGCTGCTGCTGCTGCTGCTGGGTAACAGTATGGGCAGCTGATAATCGTTTTGATCTTCTTCGTCCTCCTCATCAGCTTGCTGATTTCCATAGCTAGCTAGAGGCAAGGTGACTTTGTAGTTTTGCTCCTGCTCGGAGTTCTGTTGCTCTTCCTGTTCCGGCTCCGTTTCCTTTTCCTTTTCCTGGGACAAGGCTACAGTCGTCTGGTAGCTCTGCTGTGGCTGTGTCTGCTCTAGCTTCTCTGTAGACTGCTCCTGCTCTGGTTTCTTTTCTCCAGACTGCTGGGGCCTCACCACACTGGCCGTCGTCTCGCCCAGCTTGACATAGGGATCCTCATCGTCCAGCTGATATTTTTGTGCACTCGTTGTATCCTCCTCGGTTAGCGTTGCTGTCAGCTCATCGGATATGTCCTCCAGTGCCTCCTCGTTCAGCTCCATGGTGGGCACAGTGCTTAGCTCTAGTTTTTCGGTGACCTGCTCCGAGCTGAGCGACATATCCGATTCAGATGAAACAACGGACATATCACCCGGTATTTCCGTGACCAGCTCAACGCTGGCCGTTGTCTGCTCCTGCTCCTGCTCGTTATCTTGATAATGCTGCTCTTCAGATGCCTGGGCCGTATACTGCGGCTGCAGCTGTGCCGCATTAGTGACGCTATCCTCAACACTTTGCTTCAGCTGCTCCTCGTCCTCCTGCTGCTGTTCGGCCAGCTCCTCTTCTGTTTTGGCATCCTCTTCGCTTTTTTCAGCTTCCTTTTCGCTTGATGTTTGTTCTTGCTCTGGTGCGTCCTGGTAAACATTTGTTGACCCAGCCACCGTTGCTGCCAGTTTCTGCACCTCCTCCTCCTCCTGCTCCTGCTCCTGCTCCTGCTCGGCTACTGGCACCTGCATTGTGGTTGCCGCCATTTGCTCAACGTTGGCTTCCGTTTGGACTTGCTGGTTGTAACCATTTGTCAACATCTCGGGCATCTGGTCTTCCTCGCTCTCGCGTTTTGGCGCATCTGGCTTCTCGTCGTCGTCCACGCTGCTGCTGCTGCTGCTGGCTGTTGTCGTCTCTTCAACTGAGTTGCTCTCCTTGCTCTCCTCCGACTGCACCTGTTCGTTGGTTGTCGCTTCGTAGCTATCAGCTGGCGCTGCTGTTGTTTCTAGCTGTTGCTGGTACTGGTACTGTGCCTGCTGCTCCTGCTCCTGCTCTTGCTTCAACTGTTCTTCCTTCAGCTGTTCTAGCTTCAGTTGCTCTTGTTTTAATCGTTCCTCCTGCAGTTGCTCCTCCCTTATTTGCTCTTCCCTCAAGCGTTGCTCCTCCTTCAAGCGTTGTTCCTCCTTCAGCCGTTGTTCCTCCTTCAAGCGCTGTTCCTCCTTCAGTTGTTCCTCCTTCAAGCGCTGTTGCTCCTTCAACCGTTGCTCCTCCTTTAAACGCTGTTCCTCCTTCAACCGCTGTTCCTCCTTCAGTTGTTCCTCCTTCAGCCGTTGTTCCTCTTTCAAACGCTGTTCCTCCTTCAACCGTTGCTGCTCCCTCAATCGCTGTTCCTCCTTCAACATTTCTTGCTTCTGCTGCTCCTCCAGCTTTGTCGCCTGCTCAATGACTTCCTGTTTGTCAGCAGCTTGGCTTGGCTTCAGCTGCTCCAGTCGCTCCAGCTCAAATATTTGCTGCTCATCATCTTCGTCCTGCTGCTGTTGTGCATAAATTTGCGACAAGGACAACACCGGCACCCTGTATGTGCTGCTCTCCAGCTGCTCCGGTTCAGGTGCGGGCGTATTGATGTAATCAGCTTCCTGTTTGATGAGCTCCTCCTGCTTTTCCTCCTCGTTTTTGCTTGGCATTATGGTTGTGATTTCCTGCATCTGCTCTTTCGTTGCGCTTGTTATCTTTTGCTCCACCACTGGATTCGGTTTTGGTTTTGGTCTCGCCTCCAGCTTAGGCGGCAAGAGGAAAGACGTGTTCAGCTGTGCAAAGTTGGTCAGACGATGCGAATTATCATCGTCAAGAGCATCATCATCATTGGCTGGCTTGTAGCTCTCAGGCTGAGTGATCTGCTGTATGACATCGGACATGAGGAACTGCAGCTCATCCTTGGTCTCATTCGAGTTCATGTAGACATCGGCGACAAGCGTATTGCTGCCATCCACCAGGGTGGACGCCACTGTGGCCGCTTGGGTCTGGAAATTGGACATCAGAATCTGATCGGTGGGCTGCAGCACCTGCAGATTCAGCTGATCCACCAGATTGGCTATCATGGGCGTCACCTCGGTGCTGTCCTCATCCACGGCATTGGTGGTGCTGGTGACGCGCTCAGTGACGGGCAGACGTGGTGCTGCCTCAGTGGTTGCCTCATCATCGAGCTGTTCATAGTAGCCGTTCGTTGTGGGTTGCTCCGTCAGTTCCGTGACCACAGCCTCGGGCACATCGGCATAGAGTGGCTCGAACTTAACCACATGATTGACTTCTTCAATGGGTCGAATTGTGGTTGCCTCTGCCTCGAGCTCGTCATCCGCTGCCATGGGCGTGGTCTGCAGGAACTGTGTGTAGCTGGGCAACTCGGTGGTCTCGGGCTCCTGCTGCTCGGCGTCCGACTGCACTGTGGTCAGTGGCTGCACCTGTGGTGCGGCCTGATTGGTGGTGAAGTACTGTGGTCTAGCGGTTATCAGCACAATCGGCGTTTGTTCACCCTCCATGCTGCTCAGTGTTGTTTGCTTAGTGCCGGTGGTTTCGGTGGAGTCGTTTAGGTCCTCAGTGGTGCTGGTGTCCTCCTCATCCAACATGGTGGCCAAGGTGCTGCCGCCATAGTTGGCTGCCAGTGGATTGGGCGATGGTATTATCGGCTTAGCTGTGGTGGTTGTTGTCGTGGTGGTTGTTGTTTTTGGCTGGCTGGTGATGCTGGTTGTCGTTGTTGTCGTTGTGGTGCTTGTGACGGGTATTTTCTTTTTGTTGGCCAAAGTTTCCATTTGCTCCTTGCTATCGGCGCTATCGTATTTAACCGGTGGTGCATTGGCATCCTTTTTATCGCCCTCTAGCAGATCCTGGGTCAAGCTCTGCACGATTTGGTCCATGGATAGTATCTGATCCGGCGACAATTGTGGTGCGGGCGACGGTGTGGCACTCTGCTGCAGCTGCTGTTGCAGCAGGGCGAGCGAGGGCAATGGCAGAGGCGTCTTCTTTAGCTGCGTCTTATCCTCCTCCAGGGCAACGAATGTGGGCAAGTTTTCGGTGGCTTCGGCATCGTAGCTGGGCACGGGATAGACAGGCGCATGGGTGGTGCTGGTAGTGGGCGCTGCTGTTGTTGTTGTTGTTGCTATTTTGCCGTAGCTTTCCAAATAATCAGCGGCTGGCGCATTATGGATGGGCTTGACGTGGATTTCCTGATGATGCTCCATAACTGGTGGTTTAGGGGTGGTAGTGGTAGTAGTGGTGCTGGTGGTTGTGGTCGTGGTAGTTGTGGTGCTCGCATGTGCGGGCTTGCCATGTATCTTTTGATGATGTAAAGCGGGTCGCCTGGTGGTGCTTGGGGGTGCTGCCGTTGTGGTGGTGCTGGTGGTTGTAGCCGCTGTGGTTGCCACTGCAATTGTGCTTGCGGTATCTATAGTATCCCGATGCGTTGTGCTCACCGATGATTCGGTCATTAATTCTGGATCAGTAGCGCCGGATGATGGCGTTGGTGGCGTCTCTGTGGTGGGGCTGCTGGGCTTGGGTTTCTTGTGTGGACGATGTGGACGCGCTGGCTTGTGTGTGCTGACCGCTTGGTAATGTGGTGCTGATGTGGCGGTTACCTGTTCAGCGGCTGGGTGATGTGGTTTGGGCTTGGTGGTTGGCTTACGCTTGGGCTTGTTCGGCTTAGCGCCGCTGCCGGTGGTGCTGGAATGTCCGGGTGTGCGGGTGGGCTTGCGCTTCTTCTTCTTTTGTGTGGTGGACACTGGTGGTTGAGTGGTTGTTGTTGCTGCTGCCGCTGCTGGCTTTTCAGGATCTGTTGCACCAGTGGTACCGGTGGGTGCTGAAGTGGGTGCGGCGGTGGTGGGTGCGGCGGTGGTGGGTGCGGCGGTGGTGGGCGCTGGTGTAGTTGTCTTCTTCTTTATCTTTTGCTTGCCACCAGTGGAGTGAGTGGTGCTGCTAGTGCTGCCATGTCCACCATTGGGTTTCTTCACACGATGTGGTTGAGTGGGTTTGCGATGCACATTGCCTGGCTTCTTGGCCACCTGCTGAACCTTTTCCGTGGTGCTGTTCGGGCTGCCTGACGAGGTGGGCGTGTGCACAATCTCCTGATTGTTGTAGAAAACCCGCCGTGTGGTTGTCTCCGGCTTGCGAGTGGTGCTGGGCAACTTCTGGTAGATGGGCTGCATGTGGGCGATATCAAAGTCGGGCATATTGGCAGCCGCCTGCTGGTACTGTTGCATGCCCGTGTAAACCGACTCGAGTGGATCCAAGTCCTCCTGCACCACCTGCGGTGTCATCTCTGTGGTGGTGGTGCTGGGCTTGCGTCTGGTGCCAGGCTTACGCTTCGATGGCTTTGGCTTCTTGGTCACACGCTTTGTGGTGCTTGTGGTGCGTGTTGAGGTCTCCACCAGCTCCGATTCGGGCGTCATAACGATTTGCTGTGGCTTCTGCTGCGGGAAGATGTCACCACCCGTATTGCCAAAGATGGCGGGCAAAATGAGCGACCACGATGAGGAGACATCGGGTGTATCCAGCACGGGCAACACCTCCACCGAGCCGTTCTTCGACGAGCTGCTTTCCACCTGCTTGTTGAGCACATGCTGCACCTTATCCACAATGTCCTGCATCTTCTTCTCCGGCTCGCTGCCCTGCTGCGGTGCCGCATGAATTATCGACGGGCCTTCGCCATCGCCATTCGCCACAATGCTCTGGATTTCCTGCATGGTCATCAGACGTTTTACCAGCTCGCCGTGCTCGTCGAACGTGTAGAACTCATAGCGATCGGGATTCAGCAGATCAATGGGGCTGGCCACCTGCAGCGATGGCTGCGGCTTGGGCACCTTCTGGCCCAAGGCATCCGTAAATTGCGGCTCATTGCCATCGAGTATAACGGCCACCGCGGGCACCGCGGCATCGCTGTGAATTAGAAAGCAAATGAAATTCATGTAGATATGCTACAGCTGACAGAGATTGATGGCAAATGGGATGCGATTAAGTTGAGCAAATTATTTTACAGCCACGTCATGGTGCATATTTTGCGGCGCATTCGTTGGCATTTTAATGGAAATTGAATGCACTCGCAATCGCAGCGTGTGCAGGAAGAAGAAGCAGAGGAAGAAGAAGAGAAAAGTCACATAGTCACGCTCGAAGGCCATGCAATGCCCCCCATCCCCTCCCCTCCCGCGCATGCATTTGCATTTGCCGTTGCCTTTGGCCTAGCTGGCAGTTAGTTAACATAGCGACACGCATTATACATATATATGTGTGAGTGTGTTTGTGTGTGTGTGTGTGTGTGTGTGTGTGTGTGCATAGTTAGGGATTTCTACATGGCACATCATTAACATTTAAGCACGTGAATCGCGCGTGCAGCAGCTGCTGCTGTCTAACTGCATATCATACAACTGTCTTGCCTGATTTAGCCATGTGTGTGGGTGTGTGTGCGTTTTGGCCATGCTTATGCAGCAGGCAGCTGAAAAATCAGAGTTTCATAATTTCGCACAATCTTTTTACTGCTGGCATTTTAAAGCAAATAATTGAATATTTATCTTATTTATTTTATGATTGCTCCGACATTTTAATTGAAAGCGAACATTTTATGCAATATTCTATTATAAATTTCAAATTAATTGCCTTGACGGGCTGACTGACTTGATTGACGCATAGCCATTAGAGTGGGCGTGGCACTTTTAGGGGTGCTCCAGGGTTATATGTGGAAAAGTGTGGAAAACATTCGTTTGAAAATTTTGTTAGCCATTCAATGATGAAATATATAAATGATGAAATATAATAAGAAAAAAATATGAGAGTTTGATCCATTTTTTGCAAGGTCCTTGAAATTAAGCATTCATTAAATATTAAATAAGCAGCGATATATAAAAGGTTTATTAATCAAGTAAATTTATATATATAAATTCTAGTCTTTCAATTAAAAATATTTTTTATATAAAATATAAAATTAATTATATAAAAATATTTTGTATAAATATATATATATATATTTTTTTAAATAGTGCTATATATATATATATATATATATATCTTTTTTTTTTTAATTCTTGTTTTATAAATACATTAATTGAATTTCAAACATTTCATTTATATATATATATTTTTTAAAGAATTAATTGAAGTATTTTTCTTTATATATTCCTATCTAATGCAATTCATTGTCAGTAATCGCTGATGTATTCAATAGAATATTCCATTCCTTTTATAATCTAATGCAAAGAGAGCATCTGCCAGTCATCAGCTTGTTTATAATAATTTCTTTGTGCATGCATTGCAATGCCATTTGCATTGTGTCGGATATATATCAATTTTGAAAAAAATATACTGTTTTTGGCATGTTACATAATTAATTTATTTGTTTATGGCAGTCTGATTAAAATAAGCTAGCATTAAAATTGACTTTTTATGTGCTTCATAAAATGGAGAGAAAAAAGTAAACCAAAAATAATTTCAAGTAATTAATGCAAATTTAGCAAATGAAAATTAAGTCTGATAAATATATATAGAAAAAAATTAATACATAATATATTTATGGAAAATATATATATAATATATAATATATGTATAATAAACAAATGTGATAGATGCCGGATAATATAAATATACATATAAATGTATTATGTATATGCAGAAAAACAATAAATAAATGTAAAAAATATGCATAAATATTTATATATATTTTAATACAAAAAAAAAAAAAATAAAAAAATAAAAAGACAAAGGAAGCTAAAATAGTATTAATTCAATTAACTATATTTCATACATAATTTTATAAAAAGTATATATAGATTTTTTAATAAACTAAATAATTTAAGAGTTTGCAAAAAAAGAAACCAAATGATTTAAGCATAACAAGCTACATTTTTATGTATAAACCTACATACATATATATGTTTATACGCATATACAACTACACTTTGCAGCATCAAGGTTTTGCCACATAAAAACGCAAACGTCTCTTAATGATCATTGCTATTAACATTAACATAAGCATTAACATTATGAGTCGCTCGCAGCGACAGCTGTGCGTTAACATTATCAAGCGCTAAGCGGCAACTGTTTAGCATATGCCACAAGCGAGACCGTGAATTTGTTAATACACCAACGGGACGGAGACAAAGGCAAGGAAAAATATTCATTTTCATAAGGGGTCGAAGGGGTTGACTATCCGCTGGAGCCACTGAGAAAAGGAAACCCCAATGAAAAGTGCTTGAGAGAAGCCAAACTGATTAGCATTGATTTGAACTTAATGAGCACTCAATTTGTGCCTAGCTTGTTGTTGGTTTTCCTTTTGCAATTTCCATTTTCCTTTAACAATTTTCTCTTTGGTTTTTTTTTTTTGGTTGGCTGTTACTTTGTTATTTTTAAATGCTGCGCCTTTAGGTATGCGGCGGTTGGGGCCCCTCAAGTGGCGCCTGTTGAGCAAATTAATTAAAATACTAAGGCATTTGGCTAGCTGACCACGCCCAGCTCCCCCCGGACGCCAACACGCATCCATACCACCTAGCATCGCGCAACAACAAAAGGCAAATTCTATTTCAATTAGTGGCAAAAATTGCAAAAACGCTGCGCAAACAAAAGACTTTTGCCTAACAACCAGCGACAACAGCAACAACAACAGCAGCAACAACAACAAACGCAAACAAAGGCCAATCCGAGAATCTGGAGTGGTGCACGGGCGGTGCTCGGCCTCTACTGTAAAAAAGAAAACCAACAGCAACAGCAGCGAATGCGCTCTAGTCGGGCGTACCTGACTGAAAAATAGCCTAAGCAAAATACCTCGAGCTACATGCGGACAAACATTCACTACCAATCAAGGTTTTTATCGAACTTTCTGCCTTAGGTAAAGTGAGATCATGTTATGTGATGAGAGCTAGAACAGCAAGAGATTCAGCGCGTAAGTTGTGCAGGATGAGAATGCAGGAAGGTATCGATCAGAGTGAATTGTGAAGGCAAAATATGGAAGAAGTTATCGATCAGAGTATGAAACGGTAGTGCTTAAATATTATTATTGACTAGGTTTAGCTGTTACATTCTTATCATGATATATCTACGTATAACTGTTCTATGCCTCTAACATACGAGCAATATATAATTCAAATGATATCGGAACTTATCGATATTTAAGGTTAATACAAAAGTTACTGAACTGAGTTCAGAATTTAACTAGATCTACATTCTTGATCTAATGAACTATAAGACTAGGTATACTCAAGTTCGTATCCAGTGTATATTCAATAAGGTTGATATCGATACTTATCGATCAGATAAAAATGACATAGTAGTTGAACTCCATAAAGCCACGGCAAAACTTGAGGATTTTTTATAGAGTAAAAAGGAGAAACCATTGCAATGCATTGTTAATCTATTTCCATAGCTATGCCTTAGGCCTTAGACGCCTCCTTCTCCTACCCGTTCATGCTTTCACACGTAATCAATATGCCCGAACTCGTTCATTTGCAATGGCTTTAGGGTATTAAAAACGCGCTCAGACTCTGTGCATGTCTGTGTGTGCATGTGTGTGTGTGTGTGTGCGTGTGCGTGTGCGTGTGGGTTTGTTTGTGTGTGTGTGCACTCACCTGGAACCGATGACTTTCTTTGAAGCCACCTCCGCTGTGGTCGAGCTCGCCGTGCTGACGGTTCGCGTCTCCTGCTTTGGCATAGACGCCTCGTATACAATGGCCGGCTGCATGGCTGGAGCATCATTCCTGTGGCTGGACGTGCTCGATGTGGTCAGATAAGTGTAGATTGGCTGCTGTTGTGTGTTGGCATTGTTGTTGTTGTTGTTGTCGTTGTTGTTTTTCTTGTTGTTGTTGCTGTCGTTGTTATAGGCAGCAGCCAGAGCTGCGCCTAATGCCAGGCATAACAGCCCGAGCAGCTGTAAACGCATCGTATTCAATTCCTAGTTATAGCTCTAGGTACAGCTATCAGATGTCACTCTCTCTCTCTCTCTCTCTCGAATTTTCTCTCTCTCTCTCTTCCTCTATCTCCCTCTCTTTCGCTTCGTTTGTGTTGCTTTTGCTGTTGGGCTCTTTAAGGCTTTTAATTTTTTGTGCGATTTTTTCTGTCTGTCTGTCGACAAATTCAGCTGAAAATAGAAAAGCGTAGACAAATTAATGCAAAGTTAATGAAAATTCAAGCGAAAAGCAAAATGTATTCATTTAAATGTATATGTATAACTGTATCTATGTTGGAAATTTACATAAAGTAGAGGCGGGTGCGGTAGGGCTGGTGGTGCGGTGCTGTTGGCTGGCTTTTAGGCTGTCATAATCAGGTAGCACAGCCAATTGGCCAGGCGGAAGGCCCAGAGCTCAAAGCCCAAAGCCGCAGCACGCTAATGCGCCTGTAATTATGCTAATAATAACGAGCAACCACATGAGTATGTGTGTGTTAGTGTGTGTGTGTGTGTTAGGGTGCGCGTGTGTTGCACAGCTTAAAATGCCTTTAGAGGCAGCTGCAGCAACGTCTTTGCAGCTAAGCACGCTTTCAGCTACTACCTCAACTTCCAACACTCAACTCCGCCATCTCTCTCACCCTCTCCCCCCTCTCTCTCTCTCTGTCTCTCCCGCTGTTCCATCTCAACTAAAGTGCATGGCAATTTAGTCATAAGATGCTGGCACATATGCATATGCAACTTGATGCAGCAGCTGTTGCACCTGAGCTGCTGTTGCCACCCTTTAAGCTGCTCTTTAATCAGCCAAACATATTAGACGGACAAACTGACAGACAGGCAGACAGACAGTTAGATAGATAGACAGGCTGGCATTGTGGCTGGCTTGTTATTTTATTATATGTGAGATTCTGGTAGCTTTTGTGTATTTAGCTTAGTTCAACTGTCAGAGCATATCATTAGCACAAATCTCCCAACTGACAGCAAAGTTTTTCACATGCCAAAACATAAATACTTTGTTGGCAAAAAGTATTTGTTGATGCCCTCTAGGCAAAGAAGAAAGCGGGGATATTCAATGTAAATAAACAAAAAGGATTTGCATTGCATGTTTAGCCATTGCAATAAGAATTTGATTATGTATAATTCCTATTTTTAGTTGAAAATGCCGAAAATTCATTTTGCCGATAACATTCGATACATATCGTTCACCAAATGAGCTGAACTACATAGTTTTCGCGCTTTAGTATCAACTGGGGCTTTTTAGTTCTTAATTTCAGTTAAATAGATAAATCCTGTTATCGATAATATATCGTTAATGTAAATGTACTAACAGATTTTCAGGCTTATGCTAGAAAATGAGTTTTTGTAGTTCTTAGATGCAGTTAAAGAGAAATTTGGGATGATAAATTATGTTATCGATAATATATCGTTCATTTATTTGAAGCTGCTTACATGTTCAGCATATATTTTCATTTTCAATGAAAAATATTCATATTTTGGAGTATCAAAAACATAGTTTTGTTTAAAAAAAACTTGTGCATAAGTTAGAAATGTTATCGATTACCTCCAAGAGATATTTTAAACTAAAGACAATAATTTCTGTTGGTATGCCAGCTATAAACACAACAACTCTAATTCAATTTCAAACAAACAAATATTATCGATAAGCATACGCATATCAATAACTTATCGATAAGAATATAACTATAGAAAATTTACTAGACTTGCTTTAATAATCTTTATTGAAGACTTAAAAGTCATATATGAGTTCTTCTTCTGCCCTCTAATAATCGACAACACAACCTGGCCAACCCCTAGTGTCAGACAACCCTTTTTTGGGCTACAGGCGCAACGGCTAGTCGTGTTTGTGCAAATGTTGTTTTTGCTCGAGCGAAAGTTTTTGGGGCTTTGTTTTTAGAGTTTTTGCCGCTAAGCTTTAGCATGTGTGGTGATAACAAAATGAATTGTCAATGGCGCGACAGGCGCAAAACAACAATATGTTAATAAGCGCCAAAATGCTACGACAACAACAACAACAACAACAGCAACAGCGACAATAACAACAGCAACAGCACCAACAATGGCAATAATATGGCTAAAGAACGCGCTGACAACTTAAAGCCTTCGCTGTCAAAATGTTAACTGAAAGCCAGGACAAACACATGTGCGTGAATGTCAATGTGTGTGCGAGTGTGTGTGCGAGTGTGTGTGTGTAATGAAACCGAAAACTTTTGCTAAAGCACGTACGCTCATATATGTATTTATATATGTATAAACATATATATATATATGGCATGCCATAAGCAGCCAAACAATTTCGGTTCAATGCGAAAAAAATCGCGCATAAATATCGAGCAAGGCTATAAAAATATGTTGCTCAGTCTCTCTATCGCTCTCTCTCTCTCTCTCTCTGTGTGTGTGTGTGTTCTCTGGCTAAACTGTGAGCAAATTAACATAAATTGTGCATAAAATATTGGAACATAGCATTTAAGTATTGTTGGACGAACGATTCAACACTTTGGGCAGCTGGTCGATGCGGCCGCTTTTACTTAAGGCACTCGCTGACACAGTGAGAGGCTGGAGTGGTGGGTGGAGAGGTCATGTCTATTGTGAGCGAGGCTCGACCATCGCCTGACAATTGATTTGTAACGGTAAATTACGTGAAATGTCAGCAAACGGCTGGTTAACAGCTCGCAGCGAGAGACTTTGGAAGGCGAAGCTGACATTGAAAATGTAAATGAAATGCAAAAGCCGAAAAATAGCCAAGAGTAGAGAGAGTGAGAGAGAGAGAGGGAGAGTGGGAGAGCGGGTGTGGTAGTTGAGCTATCTGGGCAGCAGACTAAAGACTGAAATCTGTCTGTCCTTTCCTTGCCGACTGTCCAACTGCTTGGCATTGTCTGCATGACAATGACGCTGAGTGACATGACAAGTGGACGACAGAGAGAAGGAGAGAGAGAGAGAGAGAGGGAGGGAGGGAGAGAAACACGGAGAGCACCTCAACAGTAGCAAAACCAGAGCAAACACTAGAAGAAAGTGCGGTTCAGGTTTGGGTTAAGGGCACAAACGAGCACAAGATTGAACCTGACAGCTGTAGAGACAAGGCCCTCACACGCACACGCACACACACACACACACACACACACACACACACACACACACACACACAC